CATCTCTGAACACCAAGGCTCCCAAGAGCGAGGGGTGACGTAACAAGCTCTCAACGCCAAGGTTCCCAGTACGAACGGTGGTGTGAGTCATTTCGGTTTCTGTTTCTGAAGCGCTCTTTCCGTTTAACGGAAAGAGCGAGGTACGAGTGATGACGTTCTGGTGTGGGCGAAGGGGGTTCCAGGGGGGGGGCGTAGGCCGAACAAACGGGTGACGGAAAGAGCGAGGTACGAGCGAGTGACGTTGAGCAGGGGGCGAAGCCCTTCTAGGGAGGGGTCCAGGGGAGGGGCGAGGCGGGCAGGCGGGGTCTAATGGTCCTATTTGGGGGGTTTTCCCTGTGGTTTTTGCATGTTTTTCGGACTCTCCTTCCAGACGGCCGAAGAACGCTCCAAGAGAGCCCAAGACTTCCCAAGACGGCCCAAGAGGCCCCGACAGGCCCCTAAGAGGCACCCAAGGGGCGTCCCAAGAGGGCCGCAAGAGGCCCAAATCATTGATTTTCCAGAGGCAAACGTATACTTTCAGCATCTACGGCTTTTCGCCTTTCACGGCGTTGATGACGGCCCAAGAGGCCCCCAAGACCGCCCCAAAACGGCCCAAGAGGCTCCCAAGATGCCCCCAAAACAACCCAAGGGGGCCCCCAGATGGCCCAAGAGGCGCCCAAGACGGCCCAAGAGAGCCCCAAGACGGCCCCAAGAGGGGGACCACGAACCGACAAGTCTAGCCTATCGCCCCAAGACGCTCCCGGGAGGTCCCAAAAGCCCCCAAAGAAGCCCCCAAGAGGCGTCCGACGAGGCCATCAGGACACCATCATTGATTTCCAATAGGAAGACGTACATTTTTAGCATACACGGTTTTTCTGCTTCCACGGCGTTGAAGACGGTCCAAGAGGCCCCCAAGACCGCCCCAAAGATCACCCAAGAGGCTCCCAAGAGGCCCCAAAACGGGCCAGGAGGGCGCCAAGACGGCCCAAGAGGCGCCCAAGACGGCCCAAGAGGGCCCCAAGACGGCCCCAGAAGGGGGACCACGAACCCGAAAGTCCAGCCTTTCGCCCCAAGACGCTCCCAGGAGGCCCCCACAGACCCCCAAGAAGCCCCAAGAGGCCCCCAAGAGGCCCCCAAAGGGGCTCAAAAAGGGCCGCAATAGGACCCCCAAGAAGGCTCAGAGAAGCCAAGTAAAGAGCGGTCGGTACCGCAAAATGCTCTTCACCCCAAGGCTCCCAAGAGCGAACGGTCACGTAAACAAGCTGATAAGACCAAGGCTCCCAGCAGGGAGCGATGACGTAACAAGTTCCTAACACCAAGGCCCCGCCAAGGCTCAGGAACGGGCGGCAACGCAACCATCTCTGAACACCAAGGCTCCCAAGAGCGCGGGGTAACAAGCTCTCAACGCCAAGGCTCCCAGTACGAACGGTGGTGTGAGTAATTTCGGTCAAGTTGTTGAAGCGCTTTTTCCGTTTCCGTGCCGGCCCAGGTTCAATGGCCGTTTTGGGGGTTTTCCTTTGGGTTTTTGCAGGTTTTTCGGGTTTCCCCCCAAGACGGCCCAAGAGCGCTCCGAGAAAGCTTCAGACCGCCCAAGACGGCCCAAGAGGCCCCCAAGAGGCGCCCAAGGGGCGTCCCAAGAGGGCCCCAAGACGCCCAAATCATTGATTTGCCTGAGGAAAACATCAATTTTTAGCATATACGGCTTTTCGGCTTTCACGGCGTCGACGACGGCCCAGGAGGCCCCCAAGATCGCCCCAAGACGGCCCAAGAGGGCCCCAAGACGGCCCCCAAAACGGCCCAAGAGGGCCCCCAGACGGCGCAAGAGGCGCCCAAGACGACCCCAGACGGCCCCAAGACGGCCCGAAGAGGGGGATCAGGATCCGAAAAGTGTAGCTTTTCGCCCCAAGACGCTCCCAGGACGCTCCAAGAGCCCCCCAAGAGGCCACCAGGGGGGCAAAATGATTGATTTTCCGTAGGATAACGTACATTTTCAGCATATACGGCTTTTCGCCTTTCACGGCGTTGACGACGGCCCCAGAGGCCCCCAAGACCGCCCCAAGAGGCTCCCAAGAGGCCCCCAAAACGGCCCCCAAAACGGCCCAAGAGGGCCCCAAGACGGCCCAAGAGGCGCCCAAGATGGCCCAAGAGGGCCCCAAGACGGCCCAAGAGGGGGGGCCACGAACCAACAAGTCTAGCCTTTCGCCCCGAGAAGCCCCCAGGAGGCCCCAAGAGCCCCCCAAGAAGCCCGCCCCAAGAGGCCCCCAAGAGCTTCCCAAGAGGCCCCCAAAGGGGCTCAAAAATGACCGCAATAGGACTCCCAAAAAGGCCCAGAGACGCCAAATAAAGAGCGATCGATATCGCAAAAAGCTCTTCACGCCAAGGCTCCCAAGAGCAAACGGTGACGTAAACAAGCTGATAAGACCAAGGCTCCCAGCAGACAGCGGTGACGTAACAAGTTCCGAAAGAGCGTGTTCTACCGCTTCTGGCGGAAAACCGGGGGGGGTCACTACCGCTTCGAACCCCTCCCCCCCCCTCCGGAAAACCGGGGGGGGTCACTACCGGTTCGAACCCCTCCCCCCTCCCCCCCCCCAGTTCATCATGAAAAGGGGGGGGTCACTACCGGTTCGGACCCCCCCCCCCTCCTCGAAAACCGGGGGGGGTCACTACCGGTTCGAACCCCCCCCCCCTCGAAAACCGAGTGGGGGTGCGGACAGTGGTGGGGACGGTGGTGGTGGGGACAGTGGCGCGGAGACAGCGGGACAGTGGTGGGGACAGTGGGACAGTGGTGGGGACGGTAGTGGTGGGGACAGTGGTGAGGACAATGGTGGGAACAGTGGGGACAGTGGACAGTGGTGGGGACGGTGGTGGTGGGGACAGTGGTGTGGGGACAGTGGGAATGAGGTGGAAACAGTGGGACAGTGGAGGGTACAATGGTGGTGGGGACAGTGGTGAAGGCGGTGGCGAGGACGGCGGTGGGACAATGGGACAGAGGTACAGTGGGGACAGTGGTGGGGACAGTGGGGACAGTGGTGGGAACAGTGGGACAGCTCAGTGGGACAGCGGAGGAGTCAGTGGGACAGTGGGGACAGTGGGGATAGTCGGGCAGTGGTTGGGACCGTGGAGAAAGTGGGGAGAGTGGAACCGTGGTGGGAACAGTGGTGGGGACAGTGGGGACAGTGCGACAGTGGTGGGGGCACTGGTGGGGACAGTAGGGACGGTGGTGGAACCAGTGGGGACAGTGGTGGTGAGGGCAGTGGTGCTGGGAACAACAGTGGGGGATGTGATGCGGACGGTGGTAGGGACTGGGAGTCGTTTGCTGGCGGTGAGTGGGGGGGGGGAGGGGTTCGAACCGGTAGTGACCCCCCCTCCGGTTTTCGAGGGGGGGGGGGTAATTCGAACCGGTAGTGACCCCCCCGGTTTTCGAGGGAGGGGGAGGGGGGGTATAGGGGAGGGGGGGGGTTTTGCCGCCGGGGGAGGGGGGGGTGGGGTCCAGCAGGGGGGTGGGATTTTCGGAGGGGGGGGGGGCGGACCCCCGGGTCCCGGAGGAAGAGGGGGGCAATTTTCCAGAGTAAAGCGGCGGTGGATCACGCTCTCTCCAAGGTCCTGACACCAAGGCCCAGCCAAGGCTCAGGAACGGGCGGGAACGCAACAATCTCTGAACACCAAGGCTCCCCAGAGCGAGGGGTGACGTAACAAGCTCTCAACGCCAAGGCTCCCGGCACGGACGGTGGTGTGAGTCATGTCGGTTTCTGTTGCTGCAGCGCTCTTTCCGTTTCTGTGTCTAGTGGCTTTCGGCCCATCCCGCCACCGTGCCCCGGTTGTGGGTCTGGGGCCCCCCCGATGTTTTGTTTGGATACCGTGGGAGGCCTCTCGGGGGCCTCTTGAAGGCAGTTTTGAGACCTTTTGGGGGCCGGTTGGGGGCCTCTCAGGGCCTCTGTTTTGGGCTCTTAGGGACCTCCTGGGGCCTCCAGTGGGCGTCTTGGGCTCTCCTGTGGGCCTATTGGGGCCTCCTGGGGGCCTAATGGGGGCCTCTTGGGGCAGAAGACTCGAGTTGTCGTTTCGTGCTCCCCCTCTTGGGCACTTCTTTGGGCCGTATTGGGGCCCTCTTGGGTGATCTTGGGTGATCTTGGGCGCCTCTTGGTCCGTTTCGGGGCCTTCTTGGACCGTCTTGGGGCCCTCTTGGGGGCCTCTTAGGCCGTCTTGGGGCGATCTTTGGGGCCTTTGGAGCCATCTTGGAGCGTCGGAAGCCCGAAACGCTAGAACGCGAAAAACATCGAAAGGCACAAGGACAATCAATGATTTGTGCCTCGTTGGGCCTTCTTGGGGGTCCTCTTGAAGCGCCCTTGGGGCTTCCTTGGGGCCTGTTGGGCCGTCTTGGGGCCATCTTGGCCGTCGTGGAACGCTCTTGGGCTGTCTTGGAGGCCTCTTGAACCCTCTTGGGCGCTTTCTGGGCCCCTCTTGGCCCGTCTTGGGGCCATCTGGTAGAAAAGCCACGCGAGTCAGCTCCAGAACGCGCGGGATCGCCCAGGAAATTTGAGACTGTGGGGCCCCAGCCTGTAGAATATTATAATCCCAGAATCCTGAATATTATAACCCCAGAGTCCTGAGTACAGAAAACAGAGAACAGATGAGAGCCTGGGGGTAATTCCACTGCGTGCCTCGAGGCACGGTGGCGGATATCCGTACATGCATGGTGCAACCAAGGTGGTGCAATGTATGTGGTGTAAGCTATGTGATGCAACATATGTGAAACGACAAACGTGGTGTCAGCTATGTGGTGCAATCGATGTGATGCGAGCTACGTGGTGTAAGCTATGTAGTGCCACGTGGTGTGTGCTGTGTGGGTCAGTCTGTGTGGTGCAATCTGTGCGGGGAGTGCTGATCATGTGGTGGCATTCACGTGTCGCAATCGGTTGCGATCGATTGCAATCGCGTGCAGTGGAACTTGGGTTGGGGGCAACGGGGCGGCGGCGGCGGGCGCGGCGACGGGCGGCGACGCCGACAGCAAGCGCGGCGACCGGATGACCATGTGGCTCCGCCGCGCAGGTTTCGCCCGGCAGTGGCGCCCCCCCCCGCCTCGACGCGGCGCATGATTTGTCACTCGCCCTTCTTGCCTGGGGCCCGCGCGAGGGGGCGACGTGTCGCCCCCTCGCCCGGTCTCCGTGCGCACTTCGCTCGGGGGTGGCGTTCTCGCGCGGGCGCGGCGCACGGGTCGCTCGCCGAAGCGCAACGACAACGACAGCGTCGCAGGGGGGGCGCACGAGTGCGGGCGAAACGTGGCGAACTCGCCCGAAATGGCCGCGCAGCTTGCCAGTGAGACTGGTCGTGCCGTATCAGTGCGGCGCATGCTTCGTTCGTCTTCGCAGCACCCATCGGAAGTCTTGCCGCTCCCGCCTCTTACCCGGCCCGCGCAGTTCTCCCCTCGGCGAAGTCGTTTGGAGCGGGGCCGCGGGCGAGCGCCTTCGAGTTGCGAGGTGGGAGCGCGTTCCAGTCCCTAGTATCAAGTTGTGCCACGGCTGATTCTCATGTTGCGGGAGGGAGGGTGGGACTAGGTGGACCTCTCCAGTTCGCTCGGCCGGGTTGCTTGGCTTGACTCTTCCTCCTCTTCCCCCTCGTTCTCCTCCTCCTCCTCCTCTTCCTCCTCCTCCTCCTCCTCTTGCTCCTCCTCCTCCTCCTCTTCCTCCTCCTCTTCCTCCTCCTCCCCCTCCCCCAGAATCGGCTTTCCATCCTGAGCAGTTTTTTGACGGCCCCGAGGCCCGGCAAGGGCCCGCAGAGGCCGAGACTGGCGAGAACCTCCCGGCCGCGATTTTTCGTGGCTCGATGGGGGTCTGGGGGGCGTGGGGACGGGCTGCGACCAAGGAGTTCCGCGGGGCGGCCGCGACGAGGAAGATCGCCCCGCGGGGACTCGCCGTGCGCGCTTGGGGCGGTGCGCCGGCGCAGGGGGGGCCCCACGGGGCGCCGCGGTTCGCGGGGAGCGCTCTGAGATCCGCGGCCTGTGGCAGCGGGAAAAAAGGAGGGCGAGAACGAGGGCGAGGACGAGGGGGAGGAGGAGGAGGAGGAGGAGGAGGAGGAGGAGGAGGAAAACGAGGAGAACGAGGAGGAGGACGACGACGACGATGACCGGACGACAGCCTGGGGGAGGAGGAGGAGGTAGGCGAGGATGCGGAGGAAGAGGAGAAGGAGGAGGAGGAAAGAGGCGGATCACGAATCAGTTGAATGGCTGGATAACGACATGTTCCCTCTGTTGGTCCTCCTCCTCCTCCTCCTTCTCCTCCTCCTCCCTGAGACACATCCTGGACAGTGAAAGTAAACACGCAGTTCCGATGAGAAGTCAGAGGGGCACTTGTTGCGTCGATGTTACTTTCAAGATTTCTTTGCGGAGTCTGAGGGCTTTTGTAGGCCCAAAGTGCCTTCCGGCACCTGCTGGCAGGCCAGCTTCTTATTTTAGGTGCATCGCTTTGACGTGTTCTCCTCGTCTTCATCCTCAGCTCCGTTCCCTCTTGTCTCTTCGTTACACACACCAGAGGGCCGAAACGGCTGGTCCCTCCGCGTTGCTTTTGCCACCATTCTGTTTCACACGTTCGTGCCCATACGTCTCCCACACTGTGCTGTGCTTTCTGGAGGGCACTGGGAAGAACTAGGTGTGCACGGGGGCTGCACGTGATCAGAGGGGCTATGCTTCTGAGGGGGGACCGGGGGTCTGTACATGGGGGTCTACGGAGGGCATGGAAACTGCCCCCACGTAGGTCTTGTTGCTTGGGCGACGCCAGAAAGCAGGTCGGGCGCAGAGTGCAGGAGGCCTCCCCCGCCTCAGGCTGGCCCCCGCAGGCTCTCCCCTTGCACCCTCTCAGGCATCTTTGAACTCGTACCCTCTGTCCCTGCCTGAAGAGCCCAGGTCCGTGGCGACGTGGGCACCGGGCCCACAGGCTACTCGCAGGACCCTTTCGCTGGCAATTCGGCACTGATCCGAGGCTGCACCAGCCCGGCAAGCAACGGCGAGCTTGGGGCCAGCACGGCCCTGCAGCAGGGCCCCGGGGGCTCCTCGGCTCCTCCGCAAGCCGACCGCTGCGGCCGCCCAGGTCGAGGCAGTCCGAGGAGAGGGCGGCCCACTTGGAGAGGCAGCTCTCCCAGAAGGAGCTGACGGTCGCGGCGCTCGAGCACGACCGCAGGACGCTGCGCAGCGAGGCCCAGCTGCGCACTCCGCCTCCCGCGCCGCGGCGCCTCCCGTGCCGGCGGGCCTCGACGGCCTTCGGCGGCTCTTCCGGAGGCCCTCGGAGGCCTCGGGGGGCCTCGGAGGAGGACGGCGACGAGGACGACGACTGAAGGTCCCCGCTGGAGGTCCACGGATGCGTCCATGAGAGGCCTGCAGAAGCATCTGCAGGCCATACAGGGCCAGGAGCGCCCGAAAGCGTCCTCGCCGGCACCTCGGCTCCTCCCTCTCGTCGTCCGATCCCTCTTCCTCGTGGCGATGGCGGCGGCGAGGGCGAGGGCGACGCCGGCACCTTGCGAAACCGCCACGGGGGGGGCCATGGCTCAGGACTCCGTGTGCTCCGTGGCAAGAGGGCCAAGAAACGCTCCAGAGTCGTGGGCGGAAGACGTGTCCGTATCCACAGCCTGCGAAACTTCCACGGGGGGGCCCTGGCTCAGGACTCCTTCTGCTTCATGGCAAGAAGGCCAAGAAACGCTCCAGAGTCGTGTGCGGAAGACGTGTCCGTATCCACAGCCTCGCGCGGAGCGTGCATGTCCATGCGACCGCGTCTCCATTGGATCGCTCCTCGGAGTCCAGACCGCGAGGGGGCGTGGATATGGATATGCTCGCCGCTCGAGACTGGGGGCCTCTGGAGGTCCTCGGGGCGTGGCCAGAATCGTGAATCACGAGAGGGACCGAAGCGCCCTACAGAAGCTACAAGCGTTTGTGCCTCATCTGTCCTGATACGCCCGTGTTGCAACACGTACCGTGTCAACACGCTGCGTGTTGGCTCGGCACGGGCGGATCCACGTTTTGGCATCCGCATCCCCCCAGACTCCTGGCGCCAACATCGCAGAGCGGATTTCGTTCGGAAATAATAGGATGGGCCTGGAGTGCCCTGGAGAATTACATTCTGGATTTCGATGTGAATTCCGTGCGGATATTTGTGGCCAGCTATGAAGACTAGGAAGAAACATCCACGCGAAATTCACTTCGTTTTTCACTCGCCGCGTCGGGCAAAAATCTACGCAGAAATCCGCTGCAGCACGTCTGCAAGGCTGGTGCAATGACCAGACCTGCGTCTTCAGCCCACGTATTGAGCTCCGTGAGGGGCGGGCTTTCTCAGAAGGCTCGGAAGTCCCCTGACCTTGTGACAGGTTCTCTAAGCCTTCCCCGAAGACGCAGAACACCTGTCAGAAGGCACCAGGGTTTCTGAGAAGCCCCGCCGCCCTCTGAGAGAGCCTTCTCCTTCGAAATTATCCCTCCCTCTCCCGCCGCTGAGCAGGAAGGAGGGAGGGAAGGAGGCGGGAGGAGGCGGGAGGACGAGGAGGAGGAGGAGGAGGAGGCGGGAGGACGAGGAGGAGGAGGAGGAGGAGGCGGAGGAGGAGGAGGAGGAGGAGAACGAGGAGAACGAATAGGAGGAGGAAGAGAACGAGGAGAACGAAGAGAACGAGGATGATGATGATGATGATGAGGAGGAGGAGGAGGAGAAGAAGAAGGAGGAGGTGGAGGAGGAGGACGTCGACAGGACGAGAGCCTCCCTGGGGGGCGCGGCGAGGTCCGCTCCCTGCAGAACCTCGTGCAGGACCTCCGCGGCAGCATCCGCGTCTTCTGCCGCCTCCGGCCGCCCCGCCGGGCGCCGGCGCCGGCGGACGGCGGCGCCGCGCCGTCCGAGGCGACGCGCGGGCGTTCGGGTGTCGGTTCTGGCCCACCACGCTTCGGCGCGGCACGTTTCCCACCATCATATCTAGGCCTCCTAGATGGGGTCGGCGATGCGGCGAGATCCCCCGACACAATCTACTCGGACTCCACCTAGGAGGCCTTGAAACACCCTATTGCGCGGCACGCTTCCCACCATCATAGGGGGATGGGAAGTCCCTGGAGACGGAACGGGCCTCCAGGGGTCCCTCGCCAGGACCCGGACCGTCAACCAACAGCCCAGAACGAAAAGCCAGTCCTGGGGAAGGGGTCGAGACCTGTGGGGGTCGACGTTGCGAACAAAAACACGACGTCGGGGGTCTGGGTATCCATGCGCCGGTCCCGCAGCGGCAAGGTCTCGAGCCTTTCCAGCTTCCCGCCCCGCGGAGCGGAGCGGCACGCTCTATATCCGCTTGCAAGGGACAAAGCATGTCGCCGGGGCCGCCGCAGCGGCACGCTGAGCAAAAGTTCCTTGACCGTACCTGCCTCCAGCATTTCCCCATCCCTCAGACTAGAATCACCTCATCTCGACGCCAGCAATGGGGCTCCCCTCGGTTCTGTCGGTCGTGTCCCTAAAATTGTCGCCGCCTCTGGGCTTCTCGATCTTACGTGCAGGGTGAAGCTCGGAGCTGTCTAGATGCTGCGTCATTGGCGTCGTCGTGACTCCCGCCGTCGTCGGGCGCCGTCCGCTTCGGCGTCGCCGTGTCGGCGTCGTCGTCGTCGTCGTCGTCGACGTCGATGTCCTCGTCGTCGTCGTCGTCGTCGTCGTCGTCGGACGTCATCGGCGTCGTCGATGTCATTGGTTTCGGCGTCGTCGTTGTTGTCGTCGGCTGCTACGGCGTTAGCACGCGCCGTCGTCCTAAGCGACGTCGCGTCAACAAAGGGGGGCAAAAGGATGGGGGAAGCTGTACGGAGAGGGGGGAGGAGTTAGGGGGAGGGTGGAAGGGTAACTAAGGGGGGATGGTTGGAGGAGGCGCTCTCTCCCCACCTCCCCTCATCATCCTCCCTCCTGCCCGCCAATCTTCGTCGCTTCCTTCCATAGTCCCTTTTTTTGTTCCTCTCTCTCTCTCTTTATCTCTCTCTCTTTGTCGGGTGGCAACATGGCGAATCTTCGGCATTCCCACGTAGCGCACGAGGTTGCAACGGGCGGTAGAGTGGCGATTCCCTGGCATACCCACACATCGCACGAGGCGGAAACGACGTGGCAAAGGGGCGGCAACGGGCGGCGACGGGCTGCAAACGTGGCGAAGCAGGCGGCGACGGGCGGAAACGGGCGGCAACGTGCCGAATCCTCGGCGGCAACGGGTGGCAACGATGGGGCAACGTGGAGAATCCCCGGCACACCCCCACGGGCGGCAACGGGCGGTAACTCGGCGAATCCCCCGCATGCCTCCGCAAGCGGCGACGGGCGGTAGCGGGCGGCAGCGTGGCCAATCCGAGGCACACCCATCCAATTCCTCAGCAACATATGCAGGCACCCCTAAGTGCAAGCAGCGTTTGTTGAAAGGGCATCCACACATTCGCTCGCCCCCCTCCCCTTCCAAAGCCCCACGGGGCCACAGACGAGCCAAACGGGCCCAGAAGCATTTTGCATCGAACTTCGAACCTCAACGACGTGGCAAATGATGGTGGTGTTCATGACGTTGATGCTGATGCTGATGCTAATGATGATGGTGGAGATGGTGATGCTGCTGCTGCTGTTTATGATGATGATGATGATGATGATGATGATGATGATGATGATGATGGTGATGATGATGACGATGATGATGATGATGATGATGACGATGATGATGATGGTGATGGTGATGATGATGATGGTACTGATGGTGATGTTTGTAGGGGTTGTGATGACGTTGATCATCATGATGGTGATGATGATGGTGATTATGGTGATGATGGTGATGGGTTGATGATGAGGTGATGCTGATGATCCTGACGTTGTCAAGTATGCTGATCTTGAACATCATCATAGTAAATATGACAATGATGGTAATGGTGATGGTATTGATTATAGTGATGATAGTGTGATGATGAGTCGATGATGAGAATGCTGCGGGTGTCGATGATGGTGATCACGATGTCCATGATGATGATGATGTTGGCGGTGGTGGTGATGATGATCGTGCTGATAATGAGGGTGATGGTGTTGGTCCTGGTGGTTATGATGATGATGACGCTGATAGTGATGCAATATTTGTGATGCTGTTTTTGTTGATGATGATGATGATGATGATCCTTATTATGCTGATGATGATGATGGTGGTTATGATGATGATGATGATGATGCTGATGAGGGTAGTGGTGGTGATCATCATGCTGATGATCGGTGGTTGTGGCAGTGGTCATGATGACACGAATGACAATGATGACGACGGCGATGGTGATGATGAAGATGGTGTTGATGAGGATGACGATGTTGATAATGGGGGGGATTATGATGATGATGTTGATGACGGTGGTGATGATGGTGATGATGGTGGTGGTGATGGAGATCGTGCTGATGATGATGCTGCTGATGATGATGATGATGATGAGTATTGTGATGATGGTGATGATTATGAATATGTTCATGATGATGGCTGTAATGATGATGGATGTCGATGATGGTGGTGGTCGTAGTAACGACTACGATTCTGGCGACCTTCCTCGAGCTTCCCTCGATCGACTTCGATCCTTCCCCCTCCATCCCCTAGGGTTGGTCACTGAAGGTCTCTGACGGTCTTCCGAGGCAACCACAGTCTTCTCCGGGCCCTAGAAGGGGCCATAGACGCCCTCGACCATCGACCCTCGCACTCTGATCCCCCTTCACGGGGTCCGTTCCGATCGGGTCGATCCGATTCGATTCGATATCGATTCTGACCGGCCCGACTGGCCCGATCCGATTCGGTTCGGACATGCCAACGATGCGATGTGGCCCGATGCCCGCACAGCGCAGCTGCACACCCTAGCGCGACCGATTCGAGTCGAGCTCGGTTCCGACCCGATGCGGCCCGATGCGACGCACGGTCCGATCCGATCCGACCTCCCGGTTCGGTGCCGGCTGATCGTGGCGCTTGCTCCCAGACGTGCGACGTCCTGGATGTTTCAAAACGGGGTCCCTGGAAGTCCTGGCCCTTTCCCCGGGACCCGCTGTTCCTCCTGAGTCGTTTTTTGACGGCCCCGAGGCCCGGCAAGGGCCCCCCGAGGCCGAAAATGGCATGAGACCTCCCGTCCTGATTTCTTTGCGGCGCGAGCATGTCTGGGATCGTGCCCCCTGCCCCGAAGCAGGCGACGCCCGCCCTGGGCGCGAGGGTCGGCAGCACGCAGAGCGTGCTGCTGCGGAAGCCTCCCGGCGACCGCGAGCAGGACCCCTCCCTGCCCCTACGTAGGTCGCGTGGCTGTTGCCGCTCCCGGCGCCCGCTCTGCGCCTCCAGGTTGGGCGTAGGTCGGGCATGCCCCCCTACAGCCTCAAAAAGTAGTCAAACATCGTCCCCAGACTGTGTTTTGACTACTTCGGATTATTCCTCCTGTCGAGGGACAGGCCGGGCGCGGATTCATGGGGGTCGATCAAGTGGGGTGGGGGAGAAAGGTGTCCCCAGACATGAGTTCGTCGTCAATAGGAATTCATAGCGGGAGGTTTTGGGCCATTTTCGGCCTCGGGGGGCCCTCGCCGGGCCTCGGGACCGTCAAAAACCGACTCAGGAGGAAAAGCCGGTCCTGGGGAAAGGGTCGAGACTTCCAGGGGGCCCGCATTGAAAAAAATCAGGACGTCGCATGTCTGGGTGCCCTTCTCGGGCCCGCAAAGCCCCCTCCTGGGCCCAGAAGGGCCCTTTTCGGGGAGGGGCCCCTTTTGTGCAGCCCTCGCTGCCCTCCCATCTCTCGCCCATGATCAATTCGCGCCCAACCATGGCGGGGGGGGGGGGGGCGTGGCGTGCTGGGCCACTGCTCGCTTAGACAGTTGAGCTTGAAAGCGTCCGCTCGTCCTGGATTGAATGTAGATCTGATGTAGATCTGCGCAGAACGCCGAAGCGCGCCCGATAGTGGCCAGCAGCGCGGAATAGCGCTCAAGTAGTGCCCAAGAGCGACCAATGGCGCCCAATAGCGCCGTGTGAGGTATATGCATTGTGCTCGCTATGCCCGCGATTGGACGCGCAACGGGGCCCCACGGGGACGACCACAAGCTTCTGTGAATTGGATTCTAATGGCGGAGGCGGGGGCGTGTTGTACTTCTGCGCGCTGCTAGGAGAAGGGAGGTCGCCTGATTAATTCGCGTCGTGACGAAAATATCGATCGGATCTTTTTAGGCACTTTCGGCCTTCCGGGGTTCTCTTTGGTCCAGGGGTTTGCCACAAACAATTGGTTCCAGGGAAGGGGGTCAGATTTTTGGGGAGGCACGTCGTGAAGAAAACACACGGCATCGTATGCCTGGGGGCCAGGGGGAGGAGGAGGAGGAGGAGGGGGAAAGGTAGGGGGGAGGAGCATGAGGAGAAGGAGGTGGGAGGAGGGATGAGGATATGGGAGGAGGAAGAAGACGAGGAGGAGGAGGAGGAGGAGGAGGAGGAGGAGGAGGATGAGGAGGAGGAGGAGGAGGAACAGGAGGAGGAGGAGGAGGAGGAGGCGGATGAGCGGGGCGGAGGGGAAGGGGCCCGCGTAGGCGCTGAGGACGTGGCTGGAGCGGCGGGGTCGGGCACGGAGGAGGAGAAGGAGGGAGGGGGAGGAGGAGGCGGAGGAAGAGGAGAAGGAGGAGGGTGGAACTGGAGGAGGGAGGTGGAACTGGAGGGGGGGGGACTGGAGGAGCGTGGAAAAAAGGAAGGCGGAAAAGGAGGACCAGGAGGAGGGAGGAGGGAGGAGGAGGAGGATGGCCTGCGACAGGCTCCTGTCGTCATGTGTTGTCGTCGTCTCTCCTCGTCCTCGTCCTCCCCCCCCCCGGCCGCAGGCCGGGTCCGCTGCCGGGGCTCCAGCGTGAGCGCAGAGGGCGGAGCAGCATGGAGAGATTGGGGGGTCCTGAGGGAAGAGGGTACGTGCAGGGGCCGAGAGGCATGCGTCCATCTGCCTCCTCCTCCTCCTCCTTCTCCGCCTCCTCCTCCTCCTCCTCCTCCTCCTCCTCCTCCTCCTCGTCTTCCATCCTCCTCCTCCTCCTCCTCCTCTCCTCCTCCTCCTCCTCCTCCTCCTCCTCCTCCTCCTCCTCCTCCTCCTCCTCCTCCTCCTCCTCCTCCTCTTCTTCTTCTTCTTCTTCTTCTTCTTCCTCCTCCCCCCCCCCTCCTCCTCCTCCTCCTCCTCCTCCTCCTCCTCCTCCTCCTCCTCCTCCCTTCCTCCCCCCTCCTCCTCCTCGGCCTCCTCCTCCCCCCCCTCCTCCTCCTCCTCCTCCTCCTCCTCCTCCTCCTCCTCCTCCTCCTCCTCCTCCTTCTCCCTCCTCTTCCCCCTCCTCACTTTCGCCCGCTGCAGCAAGAACCACGTTGGCGTACGAAGCTGATGTCAGGCCAGACTCCCCCTCCCTCCCCGCAGCGCCAGGGCCGTTTTCGGGCTCCAGGGGCTCCCCCCATGCCCCATGTGGCCGTCAGAAACGGCTCGGTATGAAAAGCTTGCCCTGGGGAAAATCCGGGGATACTTCTCCAGGACTTGGTTACCTCAGGACGAGAGGTCAGGGTCCCCTCACAGCGGGGACGTTTTAACAAACCCGAAACCGGCGCACCCAAGAAAATCACGGCCGTGGGTCGAGACATCCTCCATCCTTCGGCCCCTCCTGCTCTCAGAGTCAGTGTCCTGGCCTCGGGGGCACCTCGGCAGGCATGTGGATACACCTGGCACCCCTCCCATAGGGTCCGAATACTTTGCATATATCAACCGCCCGCCGAGGCCCCCGAAGGAGCGATCCCCGGGCGGTGGTTATGGAAACATCCCCGCCGCGCACCGGAGTACAGTGGAGACACATGCCAAGAAACACCCTGCTTGCCTCCAGGGTGCCCTGGGTTTCTTGGGTTTCGATGGTTCTCCTGTGGAAGGTGTGACGTTCCCGCACCAAAAATCAAGGGACATCCTGGGGTCTCAGGGTTGGGTTTCTTGTGGAAGGTTTCTTGCGGTCGGGCCTCCACTGTAATCCCTCCGTGGCTTACTTCTCAGGACTGCAGGGGTTGGACCAGCCTTTAGGGGCGACGTTGACGGGGGCATCGGCCCAGAGAGGAAAGGCATCGACCCTCCATCGCCCATGGATCGCAGATAGGGCCCCGATAGGCCCACCCCCCAGGCCAGGAGCGTGCGGGTTCCCTCTCGGGTGCCCACCGCCGATCTCTCGGCGATGTATCGGCGATTCCAGAGCTGGCCCCCCGATGACGGGTGGGCCAGATGTGTATGCATACCCACTGCGCCTTGGTCTTTTTCGGGACAGGGGCGCCAGAAGGCCGAGGCGCACTGGATGTGTACGAAAAGATCCTGCCTCCAGGGGCCAGACTTCTGCCCCGTCTCCGCTGCGCCCGTGGCTTCTGGGGCGGGGAGCCCGGCACCCCCAGGGCGCAGCGGATATGGACACGGGCCCCGCCCGCAGCACGCTCGACTTTGCAAGTCCGAGCGCGCCCCGATCAGCGCGGACCCACACGTTGAGTCCACTGCCGTGCCCCAGGCGGGACACGCGGCCCACTCTCGGGCAGGAGCCCTCTCGCCATGCGAGGCAGACCACGACGGCCAGCACGCGTGGGTTCCCGCAGGAGGCCCTGCCCGCACAGCGGTGCCCCATCGGAATCCGGGCCCCGCGCGCGGAGACGCCGGGCCCGCCTCCCCTGGTGGGCTTGTTGTCCACCGCCGCCACCGTAAGTAGGAGGGGGAGGGGGTCCTCCTCCTCCTCCTCCTCCTCCTCCTCCTCCTCCTCCTCCTCCTCCTCCTCCTCCTCCTCTCCCTCCTCCTCCTCCTCCTCCTCCTCCTCCTCCTCCTCCTCCTCCTCCTCCTACTACTCCTCCCTCCCCCCTCCAACTTGTGGCGGTGGTGGTGGACAGCAGGCACACACTATCCCTCCCCCCTCCGCCGTCGGGCGAGAGGACTTCGGCTTCGACCGCGTTTTCGGCCCCGACGCCGGGCAGCGGGACCTCTACGAGGAGGCCGCCGGCGTGCGCGGGGGCCCGGCGGCCGCTGCTTCGTCGGCCGTTGAGCCGCCCGTCGTGTCTCGTCGGCGCCTGCGCCGCCCGTCTCCAGGGGGCGAGAGACACAGACAGGATCGCGTCGTAAAAAAACAGGACGGGAGGTTTTTGGCCAATTTCGGCCTCGGGAGGCCCTCGCCGGGCCTCGGGAGCGTCCAAAAACGACTCAGGATGAAAAGGGGGCCCGCATTGAACAAAACAGGACGTCGCATGTCTGGGGAGATATACCGATGCCGATGCCCGGCCTGCAGGGCCCTCGTCACCACGGCCGGATTCCTGAAATGATTGGCAGCAGATTGGGCGACGCGTGACAGGGTTGCAGAAGAGGGGGCCCTCATTGAAGAAGAGAAAACGTCACGAACATAAACTTTTGGCGCTCCGCGCGGATTTCCTGGGTCCGCGAGTAGTTTGTTTGCACGAGTCCGCGCGCCTAGGGCGCATCGTTCGTTCGGTCGTTCGTTCGTTCGTCTTGTTTCCAGAGGGCTCCGTGGGCCCCAGCACATCCGTCCCCGTGTTTCGGAGAAGCTCCTCCCTCTCTGTACTTATTTCAGCCCGAGCTCGGGATACCCAATGCGTATACGCCACGGGGGGCTTCTTCCTTTGTGAAAGGGAGGCGAAGAGACAGGGAAAGGGGGGAGATTGGACGCGTCGGCGCCCCAGCGATGTTGCTGTCCAGAAATGTTGTTCTTCAGTGTTGGATCCGAGGCGATTGTGTCCCTCTGCGCTGTCCCAGTGGATTCCAAATTAGGCGCCCCTTCTCTAGGGTAGGTTGACTCTTTCTCGGCCCGCGGAAGCAGGCGGAGAGCCAGCGGACGCCAGCGGAGGGCGAGCGGGTTGTAGGAGTTCGTGGGCGGGAGTATGGCCCAAGCGAAAGGAGAGCTCTCTAGAGTCAGAGAGAGAGACACACACATATACATATATATATATATATAGAGAGAGAGAGAGAGAAAGAGAGATATATAGAGAGAGAGGGAGAGCGAAATATGCTAGGCCCCCTACACATGGTGTCGGTGTAGATGGGGTCGGGGGATCGCCCTGCATCGCCGATGCATCGGCGATGTGGCTCGATGCGGAGCCCGATTTGCTTCACGCCGACGTCGCGGATGCATCGCCGACGCCGCCGATGCATCGCCGCTGCATCGGCGACGTGTCGCCGATGCACCGCCGATGAGGCGCGGTCCTCCGACCCCAGCTACTCGGACCCCATCTTCAAGAGACAGCAGGCTTTAGGTCTGTGTCAGGGAGCCAGCATCCCCCTCCGCTGCTGGCCCGCTTCCTTGGTCAGTCCAAGGTTTTGGAGGCGTTGGCGTTGATGTCAAATCAAACCCAGACCCGATACTTGGCTTTTGCTAAACGGCCTTGGGCGTTTAGCAAACACACCTGCCTTGCTCGATTCCTTGTTTGGGTGCGTTTGCGAAGCGGCCTCGCTTGTCGGGTTGGTCATCATGGGGGGGGGGATGTTTTGCCCCCTGCATCTAGGAGGCCTGTAGAGAAACGACGGCGGTACCACCGCCACCAGTGGGCCACCCCGAGCGAGGAGAAGTGCTGGGGACCTGATGTGCATCGCCGATGTATCGCCGATGAGGCGCGATCCTCCGACCCCATCTACTCGGACCCCATCTAGGAAGCCTCTAGAGAGACGACGGCGGCACCAGCGCCACCAGCGGGCCACCCCGAGCGAGGAGAAGAGAAGAAGAAAGATGAGGAGGAGGAGGAAGAGGAGGAGGAGGAGGGTAAGGAAGAGGAGGAGGAGGAGTAGGAGGAGAAGGAGGAGGAGGAGGAGTGCTGTGGGCCTGCTGTGGAGCAGGAGCGGCACACACACACACACACCGCTGGGAGGGCACGAGGGTCCGCCCCCCCCTTTGGCTCCTGCCGCGGGCGGAGGACGCGTCGTGTGGACGCCTGGGCCGTGACCCCACGGATGCGGGGCCCAGACAGGATCGCGTCGTAAAAAAAAAGGACGGGAGGTTTCTGGCCAATTTCGGCCTCGCGAGGCCCTCGCCGAGCATCGGGAGCGTCCAAAAACGACTCAGGAGGAAAGACAGGTCCCGGGGAAGGGGTCGGGACTTCCAGGGACCACGTATTGAACAAAACAGGACGTCGCATGTCTGGGGGCGTGTTTGTTTTACGTTGCCATGCGACCGCGCATCCCTGGGACTGCGCCCCGGAGTCCACACCAGGAGGGCGTGGACGTGGAGAGGTTCGCCGCTTTTTCCGTCAAAGGCTGTGTTAACGTGTTCTAGTGATCGTCCATTTCTTCCTCTTCCGCCATCTTTGGAGGCTGAGGAGGCGAATGGGCGAGTTGCACAGAGGAGGAGAGGGTCGAGGAGCGGAGCGAAGCGGGGCGAAGAGGAGCGAAGCGGGGCGAGGAGCAGGAGGAGCAGGGGTTCGGCACCACCCAAACATTCTCTGGTACTACATGCGCGTCGGCCTCGCAGGGGCGACGCGCACGCTCGGGAAGCTTGCAGAAGCTCCACGGCGGGCGCTTCCTGGTCCCACCGCAAGACGTTGTGCTACATGCTCGGGTCGGACGTGCGTCTCTCCGACAGAAGCGCATCGTGCTGGTATGTCCTCGTGCGCCCCAGGGGAAGAGGACTAGAGGAGCGAGGAGGAGCGAGGAGGAGGAGGGACGGAGGAGCAAGAGGAGTGAGGAGGAGTGACGGAGGAGGAGGAGGAGGAGGAGGAGGAGGAGGAGGAGGAGGAGTGACGGAGGAGTGACGGAGGAGGAGGAGGAGGAGGAGGAGGAGGAGGAGGAGGAGGAGGAGGAGGAGGAGGAGGAGCGCGGGGGACACTGCGAGCGAGGACCGCACCCCGCCTCCGCCGGGCCACCTCCCTCCCCGGACCCCCGACGTCATGATTGTTTCACCACGTTGGCCCCCCGAGGTCTGGACCCGTTCCCCCGGACCAGCTTCTCATCCCGAGTCCCTGTTGGGCGGCCCCGAGGCCCCTCCAGGGGCACCAGCCTCCAGGGGCCGAGAATGGAGAAAAGACTCCTGCGTCGTGATCCTTCCCGCTGCGCCGAGAATCGAGAACCGAGGAATCGAGCAATCGAGACTCAATACATCGAGAATCGAGACATCGATGCCTCGAGGCGGCCTGGGCCCGCCGACCTCCTCAGGTGGAGCCGCTGCTGCCCGGCATCCTGCGCGGGCTGCACCTCTGCGTCTTCGCCTACGGGCAGACGGGCTCCGGCAAGACCTACACGCTGTCGGGGCGCCCCGGCGGCGAGGGCGGGCTGCAGGACCTCCCCGGCAGGCTGACAGGGGCAGCTCTCGGGGCCCACCCGCTCGGGGTCGGGCACCGGAGCGACAGAAGCAGAACGATGGAGCTCCCGGCCCTGGACGTCCGCCGAGCTGTTCTCTGCAATCCGCGGCCCCCAGAGGTCCCGACCGCTTCCCCGGGGTCGGCGTTGCGTCCCACATCCGCTCTGATGGCCTCGGGGCCCGATACCGAGACAGCCTAACTCGAGGAAACATTTCGGGGATCGACTCCCAGGAAAAGATGGATGTTTTCGGAAAACAGGGCGAAGACGCAAACCCATAATATATCTATATATATATATATATATGTATATATATACACATATATGTGAAAATGCAGAGAATCCTATGATTTGTGAATTTATTGTTGCGTCCCTGGGCCCTTCTGACCTGGGGGGCCTCTTTGGTGCGAGGACCTGGCGCTGGCAGACCTCCTGCGGCTGGTGGAGGCGCACGGCGGCGGGGCCGCGTACGACGCGTGGCTGAGCGCCCTGGAGATCTACAACGAGACCGTCACGCGCTCGACCCGCTCACCGCCCGACACACACACACACACACACACACACACACCGCCGGGAGGGCACGAGGGTGGTTCCGCCCCCCTTTTGGCTCCTGCCGTGGGCTGAGGACGCGTCGTTTGGGCGCCTGGGCCGTGACCCCACGGATGCGGGGCCCAGACAGGATCGTGTCGTAACAAGATCAGGACGGCTCTCAGCGCCCGCGGGGCCCAGGCAGCTCCCTGCTGAAGAGGCGTGCGCCCGTAGTCTCAACAGGCCACCTCGCTGGGAGTTCCTCCATCCATTTGTGTCGGAGGGCGCCAGCTCTATACCCAGACATGATCGCGTCGTCAAACATCAGGACGGGAGGTTTTCTGCCATTTTCGGCCTCGGGGGGCCCTCGCCGGGCCTCGGGAGCGTCAAACAACGACTCAGGATGAGAACACGCTCCCGAGGAACGGGTCGGGACTTCCAGGGACCCCGTCCTGCAAAAATCAGGGCGTCGCATGTCTGGGTACCTATGCACCGATCCTGGGCCGGCCGGTCCAGGGCCAGGGGCGATGCAGACTGCCAAGCCAGGAGGGCGCATACACTCCAGGCGATGCTTAAGAAAACCCAAGTTTTCGGCCAGAGTCTCGATTATTCTTAATGTTTCAATGTAAATCCTAAGGTTTTGATAGAAGTTTTGGGTTTTTATTCAAATTCTGAGACTCTGAGTTTCTTAACCCATGATTTCTTCAGCATTTCGCAGGGTGTACGCCGAGCCTGGGCCCAGGGTGGGCCTGGCCAGGATCGGTGTGGGTGTACAGCCGGCGCCCTCCGATCCATCAGACCGTCCCGCGCTTGCCCTCCCCAGGCTTAAGTCGGGCGTGTCCTTCTACAGAAGGAATATTCAAACATAGTAAAAAGTAGTCGGGGGTGATTTTTCTAGTTTTGTCTTTTTTATTGCCCGTGATTGAATATTTTGGGGGAATTTCTCATTTCTCGTTCCAACTCCTCCTGTAGGCGATTGCCCTCCCCAGGCCCCCGACGTCAGGTTTCCTTCCCAAGCTCGACCCCCTGAGGCCTCGCCCCCGTCCCGGGGGGCCGTCCTTTCCTCCTCCTTCTCCTCCTCCTATGTACTCCTCTTACTCCTCCTCCTCCTCCTACTCCTCCTCTTCCTCCTCCTCCTCCTCCTCCTCCTCCTCCTCCTCTTCCTCCTCCCTTTTCCTCCTGGGTCGTTCTCTGGCTGCCCCGAGGCTCGGCTAGGGCCCCCATAGAGGCCGAAACAGCGAAGCGCCTGCCCGTCGGGACGTTTCCGCGACTCGAGGGGGGTAATTCGGTGGCAACTCGTGGGACTCGCCGCCAATCGGTGCCAAAGCGATGCTACTCGACGCGAGCTCGACGCTAACCGACGGTAGATCGGCGCTATCTCGTCGACTCCCAGACGCTAGTCGACGCGCGCTCGACGCGAATCGACGGAATTTTCGAGGGTACACAGGGCTCCCATGATCTGCTGCCGAAAAGGGGGTCTGGGTCCTGCGCCTGCCCTCCGCCCTCCTGGCCGGCCGCGTTTCGACCCCTCCGATTCGATTCGATTCGGCTTCGATGGCTTACGATTCCGACTCGATTCGACTCGGGCCTCCCATCTGGGCGCCGATTTTTCACTGGAGGCCCTCTGGCCTGCCGATTCCCACCGAGCATCGACTCTCCCCGACTGGGCTGCCGATTTCCGCCGATGCGATTCACTCCGATCGCCAACCCAGACGTGCCACGTCCTGAGTGCTCTCAATACGGGGTCCCTGGCAGTCCCGACCCTTCCCCCGGGACCCGATTCTCATGCGCCGAGTCGTTCTTGTTGACGGCCCCGAGGTCCGGCGAGGGCCCCCCGAGGCCGACGATGGCGAAGAACCTCCCGCCCCGAGTGTTTTACGACGCGATCTCATGTCTGGGCTCCGACCGCCGATCCGACTTGTCGGTCCGATGCGGGGCCCTCCGCCCTGCCGCCCCCGGGGGGCCCCGAGGTCCAGGACCTGCTGGCGTCCCTCGCCGGCCGCCCCGGCCCCGGCGGCGCAGTGGAGCCGGGCGGCGCGGAGCCGGGCGGCGCGCGGCTGGAGGTGCGCCAGTCTCGGGAGGGCGCCCCCGACGGCGAGGGGGCCTTGGCCTCAGCCGCGCCCCGCGGCGCTCGCCGCCGTGGTGGTGTCCACCGCCGCCGACGGCGTGGTCGTGGCCGTCGTCGTCGTCGGCGGCGGCGGCGGTGGCGCCGCCGACGTCGTGGTCGTGGTCGTGGTCGTGGTCGTGGTCGTGGTCGTGGTCGTGGTCGTCGCCGTCGCCGTCGTCGTCGTCGTCGTCGTCGTCGTCGGCCACTCGAGGTTATTGAGCGTTTTCGTTCCTTTTTTCGGAGGGGGCACCACCACCAGCGGACCCCCTCCATCTAGCAGGTCTATGATTCTTCGCCGAGCTGGAGTTTGGTGTCGATATCCGGACGATCCGATATGATCAGATGCCTGCACGGAGCTGTTGTCCACTGCTGGCGCGCCCGGCTGTGTTCGAGTCCGTCTCCGTCCCGACCCGACCGCATTCGATGCACGTTCCGATCCGACTTCATCTATGGTCCGGTGCTTGCCGCTCACACCTCCATCCCTGCTCCCTCGCCGTGGCAGCCCGCGCCAGCGGGCGACACCCGTGGCCACGGCCCGCGGCCGATGGGCAGGCATCCCCGGGCCGAAGACCCCCGGGAAGCAGAAGCCGACATGGCGGTGCTCTTGGGGGACAACGGCGGCGACGGCAGCGGCGAACAGCGGCGGTGGCGATGGGGCCGACTGGCGGCGGCGGTGTGCGTGCGCCCCCCTTCGGCTCCGGAGGGGCTCGCGGGTGCGCCGAGGTCGCGGCGCCGCCCTCGCCGTTCGGCTCGATGAGGACGCCGCGACCGCCGCCGCCGGTTGTCATCGCTGCGGCGTCGCTGCCGCCGTCGCCGTCCTGGTTGCTGGCTTCTGGGTTGTCGCGTGCGTCGTCGCCAGCGTTGGGCTCGAGGAGGGCGCGGCTGGGCGCCGCCGTCGAGGTTCGAGGCTTGATCTGTCTCCTGGGGCTCCGAAGGCCTGCACCCCTCCCGGGCCTCTGGCAGAGCCCTCGGGGCGCGTGGCCACTGCCAGAGTCGCCTCGGCATGCTGGTCAGAGCGCTCCCCAGCACAGGCCTTGTGAAGCCACCACCGCCTCTGCCGTCGCCGTCGCCATCGTGGTCGCCGCCGCCGCCATCACAGCCGCCGTCGTGTTGCTCGTCGTCGTCGTCCTCCTCCTCCTCCTCCTCCTCCTTCTCGTCGTCGTCGACGTCCTCGTCGTCTCGACGTCGTCGCCTTCAAAAGTTGTGGTTCTGCGCTTGTCTCCTTGGGGGGGGGGGGTCGGGCCCTGGGGTGCTTTTCATCGGCTGCGCTTTGCCGAGGGCGTTCTGGGGAGCCCCCAAGCCGTTCTGCACGGCCGCCCAGGGCACGAGCTTGTGGGCCGCAAGGCTCCCAGAGGCGTCGTCGTCGACGTCGTCTTTGTCATCCTCCCTCAGCACTTGCTACAGACAAGTCTGGCATCATCGGATTGCGCAGCAGCTGCGTGTAATACTACTCCTTCTTCAACCGATCCCCCTCCACCCCTCCCTCTCCTCCCTCTCCTTCTCTTTCCCTGCGCGCGCGTGGGGGGCAGTCGGTCGAGGAGGGGGAGGAGCAGGAGGATGACGTCCTCGTCCTCGCCATATCGTTACCTTTGCCGTCATCTCCGCCGTCGTCCTTCTCCAGATTCTCCCTGTCTCTGTCTTCGGCTGGCCCCCTTGCCGCCACGTCTAATTCGCATCGGACCTTGGTCAGAACACACCCCAGGGAGGTCTCATTAGGGCCGACATCGACGAGAATCGCCGTCGTCGTCGTTACACGTCGGCGCCTCCTTCGGCGTCTTCTTCGTCATCGCCCTTGTCGCCCGCACGAGACCCACCAGGACGCTCCTCGGCTCGACGAGGACACCTGTCGTCATCGCCCGTTCCACAACTCGAGACGCGTTTTTTTTGGCGATGTCGAGTTTCCGTTCGACGTCCGCGTCGATGTCAGGTGTCCGTCTTGTAGTGCTAATTCTCCATTGGTACGCTTCGATGTCCAGTATGAATTCCTGGAGCCCTGGGGCCAGCGAATCCTGTCCTGCGGTCCTGCAGGTCTGACGGATGAGATTCGGAGCTTTGGGGGGCCCACGTCGTGAATCGAGCAGGTCGGCAGTTCGGGGACGTCGTCTTCGACGTCCTGTCGTCCTCGACGTCTGCGCGCAGTCCACTTCTGGGGCTAGGGCGACTCCAACTGTTCACCTGCATCAATCATCCACCGCCCACCAAACCACCCCAACCCAACCCGAAGGCCCCGATGTGCCCTCCATTTCCAGTGGGGTGGGGTCGGGGAACCTGGAAAAAACACATATCAAGCCCGCACCCCCCCAAAACCAGACATTCGGGCGAAATTCGTGTTTTCGAGTTGGGTTGCGGTGGTTTGGTAGGTAGTCAATCATGGGGCCCATACTTGGTCCGAGTTGGCCGTGTCGGGATTCATTTGGCGTGCAGCTGCCGTGTCCTGGCTCGTGGAGGGAGGGGGGAAAGCAGGGCAGAGCAGGGACGATGAGGAGGAGGAGGAGCAGGACGGCGAAGTATAGGAGAGGGAAGGAGGACAGGACCACCGAGCGAAGTAGACGAGAGAATGGAGAGGAAAGCCGAAGGAAGGGGGAGGGTTTGGAGGGAGGGACGAACGCTGGAGGCAAGATGAGGGACAAGGTCAGAGGCACAAGAGGGGAACGGACGCGGAAGGGAAGGGTAGGGAGGGGGGTGAGTGAGAGACGGTCGGTCGGATACGGCAGTACAGCGGTCTGTGTGCAGTGTCGGGTCGGAGGCTCATATCCCTGAGAGCGGAACAGAACAGCAATGGGAGGATGGACGCGGGAAGGTTGGATGAAGGGGAGCGGAACCGAGTGCCTATGGAGGCAGGCGGTTGG